TTTGTGGCCCCCTCACTGTCCTAATTACGTGGCCCAGTTGCTACCCTCAGTGGCCCCATCGTTGCCTTCTGTGGCCCCGCATTATTTGCGCTTCGTGGCCCTCGCTCGTTCGCGCTCTTCGTGGCCACATACGCATTCCCTTCGTGTCCCCGCTGTCGCCCTTCGTGGCCTACTTCGTGTCCTTGTGGCCCTGCTGTCGTTCTCTCTCGCTCTTGCTTTCGCTCGTCGTCGTCGCCGTCGTCGTTGTCGTCGCCGTCGTCGTCGACGCCGTCGTCGTTGTCGTCGTTGTCGTGGTCGGTCCCCTGTCCTTGCCTCTTGGGGTCGGGTCGACGGTCCGCGGCCGCCCCGCCGATCAGCGCTGCCGCTGGCCAAGCCGACGGTCCGCGGCCGCCCCGCCGCTTGCCGGGGCCCGGCCTGCAGGGAAGGAAGGCATACCCCCCAAAAAGGGTTCGATCGAAGATGAAAAGGGTTGGTATCGAGGGTTTGGGAAATAGACGTTATTGGACACTCGAGCAGATAAAGGCGAACAGTATTAACATGATTGTTGTTGTTGTTGTTGTTGCTGTTGTTGTTGTTGTTGTTGTTGTTGTTGTTGTTGTTGTTGTTGTTGTTGAGTTTTCACGTATGAAGAATAATTACTGTTTGATCCGACTCACCGGTGCATATTGTTTTTTCTCCGTCAAAGTGTGCCCCATTGACGTTCGCACTCTGTTTTTTGACAGGGGAAATCTTCCTGGTCAAACTGTGCCACTGGCCCCCTGGACCCCGGACTACAACAACAACGGCTCCCGCTTTAGACTTCCTCCAAATTCACGCAACGGCGCTCCCGCTTGAGACTTCCTCACAATGTAGTCCGGGTCAAATTGCATTGTTGCTCCACCGGGCTACAACAACAACGGCTCCCGCCTGAGACTTCCTCCAACTTTACTCAGGATCCCGCTCCCGCCTGAGACCTCCTCACAATTTACTCAGGATCGGCGCTCCCGCTTGTGACTTCTCCGCAATTTATTCAGGACCCCCCCTCCCGTCGGAGGTTTCTTCATAATTTGATGAAGAACGGCGCTCCCGCTGAAGATTTCATGGCGCTTCAGTCTAGACCCCTGCTCCCGCCAGACATCCCCTTTTCAGGAATGGCGCTCTCGCCTGTGACGCTTTCCCAGTTTATCCAGAAATCGCGCTATTTACGCTCAGGCACCACGCTCGCGCCAAGGACGCCGCCACACTTTATTTAGGAATCGCGCTCTCGCCCTACTCAGGCATCCCGCTTGAATGTCCCACCCGCCCGACCCGCCCGTCAGAGGATCGCCCGCCCGTCGTGAGCTGCCGCCCGAGACTTTTTTGTGGAACGGTTCTCGCCTAGGACTTCTTCGAACGTTCGCACTCTTACCTTCCTGCTCCTCCCTCCTCCCGGGCCGCCTCCTCCCTCCTTCCGATTCCCTCTCCCTCGCACGTCAGTTGATGTGGAACTTTCATTCCTGAAGGATGGTTTCTGTTGGTCCCCCCCACCGGTGCGCATTGCTGTTCTCAGTCAAAGTGCGCCCCTCGACGCTCGCACCTTGTTTATTTGACAGGGAAAGTCACCCGGGCCAATCTGTGCCCCTGGACCCCCAGCTACAACAACAACAACAACAACGGTTTTCGCCTCAGACGCGCCCAGTGAGAGCCCGCCACGTTGCCCAGCCCACAGAGGCCCCCGCCGCTTCCCTCTCTCTCTCTCTTTCTCTCTCGCTCTCACTTTTTTTTTTTTCTCTCTCTCTCTCTCTCTCTCTCTCTTTCTGTCTCTTATTATTTCCTTTTGGTTTTCATTATCTCTCTCTCTCTCTCTCGCTTTCTCGCTTTCTCTCTGTCTCTCTCTCTCTCTCTCACTTTGTCTCACGCTCTCTCTCTCTCTCTCTCTTTCTCTCATTTCGCCCCCTCCCCTCCCTTCGCCCCGTCCCTCCCTGCTCCCTTCCTTCCCCCCTCCCTCCCTCCCTCCCTCCCTCCCCTTCGTCGTCGTCGTCGTCCCCGGCCGTCCCCCTTGGGGCCCGTCTGCTTCCCGGGGTCCAGCATGTCGGCCCTTCAGCCCCCGCCCTCCTCCCTCCTCTCTCTCCTCCTTCCCTTCCTGCCTGCTTGTCTGCCTGCCTCCCTCCTCCTTCCCCTCCTCCTCCTCCTCCTCCTCATCTTCATCCTCCTCCTCATCCTCCTCTTTCCCCCCCCTCCTCCTCCTCCCTCCCTTGGCTCCTGGCTCGTCCGCGTTGCAGTGCAAGCGTTGCTTGGCCGTCGCTCGGAGCCCTGCGAGTGTTAAGACGCTTTTGAAGCCAGGGGCCCAGAGTGACCCGTCGCCCGTGCTCCAGGCCCGCGCCCTAGCTGTTGAGCAGCTCGGGTGGCGTAGCCAAGGGGACGGGGGGGCTGCTGAGGGTGCTGCTGCTGCCGACGGGGCGTCAGGAAGTGGGCCCCTCTTCGAATGTGACGGCCATGCGGTCCAGCGTTCGGGGCCATTTCCGTTTTGTGTTCGATGCGGGGCTCGTGTGGCCATCGGTTCTCCCAAAATCGATGCCCTTGGGGAAGTGTGCCCCTCGCGCCCCCCGAACCCCGCCCGCCGCAGAGCCAGGGATTGGCTGGCCGACGAGCGGCACCCGGCAACTGGAGCTGGGCGCCCACACCCTACAAGGCGGGAGTGCCCTGTTCCACCATTTTGTAGCTGAGATAGCGTTGGGTTGCGGCCTTGTTGCCCACATCATGCCGACGAGCACCAAAACCACCATCAGTTCCCTTTTTCACACGCGCTGCCAATTTTGTACCACACGCACACACACGATCGCTGTATCTGAGGACGTCCCCACGCTTCCCATCGGGTTCCAAATTCGCCCTCAACATCCCGCTGGGCAGCCCCAGAGCCCACTGGGACAGCCAGCCTGCCGCGCACGCGCCAGTACCAGCGCTGCAGCTGGTGACGTTTGGCTTGGGTATCGTCCCCCACGTGTTCCCGAACAGTGCCAGACCTCTGACCCCAACGTTGAGGCTGGAAACGGCGGGCTCCAGTTCACCTCCCATGTCTCGTTGAGCGTTGCCTTCCAAGTCACGCTGAGCAGCATCGCCAGCGCTTGCTGCTGCGGCTTGCCCTTCTCGCACACGCAGATCCCGGCGCTGTGGTAATGGAGCTCCGTTCCTGTATATAGCTCATAAGATTCCCGCACGTTCGAATCCCAGCGCTGTGATTCAGGAAATCGGGCTCCCACTTCACCTCCCACGGGACCGCTGGGCAACAATACTGTCCGCTGCCATAGGTCGTTATCCTGCACGCGGTGACCACTGCGTTATAGCTAATGTAATGGGGTCCCAGCGTCGATTGCCGCACCCCAAAGACAAGTGCCAGAACTCGCTGCCTCTGATTGCCGTTTCGCCTCCCACTTTTCGCTGAGCAGCGCCAAAGCCACCTACCACTATGCGGTTTCCCCGCTCGCCGTGAATGCCGCATGTCATGCAGCAGCAACAAAGCCCGCGGCCCCTGCTGGTTCCTCTCAACCGCCCTGGCCCTGCAGCGTTCTAGGAGATGGCATCGGGCACCACATTCGCCACCAACACCTCGCCGAGCAGCACCTGAGGTGTTACATGGCGCTGCCTTTGGCGCGACTCATGGCGAAGCCTTTGTTAACCTGTGTCGGAATGGCTGGCGCAAGTCACGGCGCAAGCTGAGTCGCTACTCGCGGCACAAATCATCGTCGCTCCTCCCTCTTGCCCCTCTAATCCCTCCCTTCCTCCGATCCCTTCGTCCTCTCGTTTTGTCGTTTCCCTTTCGTTTCCCTGTTTAGGGGGTTCTCCAATTACGCGTGGCCAGGAAGGAATATAACCCCCCAGAAGGGGGCACGATCGAAGACGAAGAGGGCGGGTATCCAGGGCTTGGGATATGCATAGTGAATAGTGAATGACACGCGGGCCGCTAGGAACGAACAGTATTGGAACGATTGGTGTTGTTGTTGTTGGTGTTGTTGGTGGTGTTGTTGTTGTTGTTGTTGTTGTTGTTGTTGGACATTATTTCTTCTTAAGAATAATTATTGTTGGGGCCCCTGGTGCACGACCCCCCCGCCGCGCCTAGGCCGTAGCCTCAGTTTCATCATTTTCGTGAGGAAGTCTGAGGCAAAACGGGGGAGTCCGGATCCGGTTGTGTTGTTACGATCGGTTTTCCCTTGCAAAAAATAAGCTAAAGTGGGCATTTCTTGTTCTAACATAACCAAACTTCAAGAATCCCTTGCAAAAATAAGGTAAAGTGGACATTCGCGCGCGCAAGACGAAATCCTTCCAAAACCTTAGTTTTCGTAGCGATTTTAACATAAAAACATAAAAAAAACCAATGGTTTTTCAAAAAACAATTGTCAACAATTCATCCCGCGCGCTCTTGCGGATTCGTAGGAAACCCAACACTTTTTAAACATTTCTGTCAAACGGGCTTTTGCGAGCAACTTTTCGAACTTCTGCAACAACGGTTGCGCACCTGCCAGGGCCATCATCCCTGTCAAATAATACCATGCGGGACACATTCGTTTTTTCTTCGCGCGCGCACGCCGTCGTCGTCGGCCGCGGGGCCCTGAATAGTAGCCACGGTCGTCCGCATGCCACGAAGTGAAGTGTCCGAACGTCATAGGGCGGGAAGCTGGGTGTGGGTGGTGGCGAAGAGTCGTTTGGAAATTTGGTAGAGCTTGAACCGGCCCCCCCACAAAGTGGGGGTATTGCCCGCCTCCTATGAAAACCCTGGCACTGGTGAGAACGGAGTGTCCCCACGTGCTAGTAATTGTTGTTGTTGTTGTTGTTGTTGTTGTTGTTGTTGTTGTTGTTGTTGTTGTTGTTGTTGTTGTTGTTATTATTGTGTTTGGTGATTTGTTGTGTCTGTTGGTGATAGTACGATTAATATGTTTATTATTATTCCTCTTCTCTCTCTTATGATTATTAGGTTCCTTCTTCTTGGTATCACTATTACTATTATTAGATGTCGTGTCTTTATAACTTGTATTTTTTTGCCCCAGGAGAAGCAGGAGGAGGGCCCTGCGCTGGAGAGCCTCGACGACGTCGAGGACCGCGGCGCGCCGCCTGCCTCGCTCCGGGGGCGGGGTGGCCGAGGGCGGGGGCCGGTTCCGGAGCGCTCGGGGGCCCAGGGGGGGTCCGGGGGCAACGACAGGGCGGGAAGGGGTATAGACACAGCGATGGGGGGGCAACGTCAGGGAGATTCCGGGGCAACGACAAGGGCATCGACCCCCAGTCGCCTACTGACCGCCGATGGTCGAGGAGGAAAACAAGGGAAAAACGCCATGATAATAAGCTTTTGGCGCTCCGCGCGGTTTCTTGGATCCGCGCTGAGCTTCACCGGCGGCGCCTCCAGCGCCGCCCTTGGCGCGCTCCGCGCACCAGGGAGGGGGGTCCAGCGCAGATCCAAGAAACCTGCGTGGACCGCCAAAAGTTTATGTTCATGATGTTTTTTCCTTGTAGTTGATCGTCGATAGGGGTCTGATAGCCTCACCCCGCCCAGGAACGGGGAGATGGCCATCGGGGGGCCTATCGCCGAGCTGTCGGCGATGTATCGCCGATTCCACGTCGACGCTTCCCCCCCTATGCCAGTCCCCCCCTATCGCTGCCCCTCAGGGGTGTGCAGGCGTGGGCGCGCGGCCCCGCGATGCGCCTTCCGGCGCGGCGTCTCCTTTTCCTCCTCCTCCTCCTCCTCCTCCTCCTCCTCCTCCTCGTCCTCGTCGTCCTCCTCCTCCTCCTCCTCCTCCTTCCTCCTCCTCCTCCTCCTCCTCCTCCTCCTCCTCCTCCTCCTCCTCCTCCTCCTCCTCCTCCTCCTCCTCCTCCTCCTCCTCCCCCTCCTCCCCCTCCCCCTCCTCCCCCTCTTCGGCCGATCGAGCGGGCAACTGTTGGGACTGCGAGCCCCTTTGACCGTCGGACGGGCCGCGGCGGGGCCGGGCGGGGCGCAGCCCGGCCTGGCTGGAGTCGCCTCTCGGCGCGGCCGCGGTCGGTCTGGCTGCTCCCATATGGCATCGGGAGCCTTGAGACGAGGGTCGGCCAGAGCGCCGGATCTTGCAGGATCCTGTGCAAACAGGGTTGCATTGACCCAGGCTTGGGTGCAGGATCCTGCAGGATCTTGCGGGATCCTTCGCATTGGCCCGGGCTTGGGTGCAGGATCTTGCAAGATTCTGCAAAGCTTGGCTAACCCGGGTCTGGATTGATCCGGGTCAGAAGATCCCCGATGGCACTGTTGGGCCGGGTGTTGCCAGAGGTGGCTCCCTGGCCTTAAGTCAGGCCTGTCCCTTTACAGGGGGGATTTCCAAAAATTATTGTTGTTTTTTCATATAAAAAAGAAAGTCTGGGGACGATGGTTCTAGTATTTTGATGGTTGATAGAAAAAGAATGTTTGGATTCTTGTTTATTTGTCGTCCAAAATCCCCCTGTAGGAGGACACGCCCGACCTAACCCTCTGCAGCGTGTTTCTTTATTGTTTGGGGCATAATGGGCATTATAGCCCGTCCCCCCCCAGTGCGCTCTGGGCACTGCCGCCGTGCGCACGGCGGGGGGAGGCGTTGGGGAGGCGTTACATTATACCCCCCCAGCCCCTCCCCCCCCTATAATGCCCATTGTCGCCGAAAATATACAAACGCGCTCGAGGTGGCCCCGAGGCGCAGGACTTGGCCACCAGGGCGCTCCCCGCGATGCCCCATCTGGGCCCCGGGGGCTGCAGGGTGGGGCGACGCGCTGGGGGCGCACCTCGGGCCAGGATGCCCATGGACAGCCACCGGCCTTCGAGGGGAGAAGCACGATGTCAGGACCAAGATCTCGCTGGATGTGGTCGACGCCGATCTTCTTGGTCATGGTCCATGGTGGCCGTCGTCGATTCGCCAGGGTGGCCATCGAATTTCCCATGACCGACCAGGATGGGCGGTGACCAGGATGGGCACCGAAGTTTCCGTGGTCAGTCTTGGTATGCCTTGGTCATGGTCCTCGTTTCCTGTCCCTCCGGACCTCGGTCCCCCCGTGTGGTGCGCGCGCACGCGCCCCTGCTCCCGAGGAGCAGTTGAGGTGGCTGGCCGGCATGCAGCAGCAGGCCTCGGCGGAGGTGCACCACGTGCTCAAGCTGGAGCGCACGGAGGCCGCGCTGCAGGCGCGGCTGCGGGAGGTCTCCGAGCAGCAGGCCGCCCTGCGCTCCGAGCGCGTGGACCTGGGGTGCGCCGGCCGCGCCATGCGCGAGGCCATGGCGACGCAGAGCGAGATCTCCGTGGCGCGGGCCTCGGAGCTGGAGGAGGCCCGGCGCAGCACGGACGAGGACAGCGGCCCGTGGCCCGGCGGCGCGCCTCGGAGGAGGGCCAGTCGAGGCAAAAGGTGTCGGCTGCACGTGGAAGCTGGACCCTTCGCCGGGGTGGCCCTTGGTGCGGGCCCACAGTGGTGCCCCCATCACTGGCCTGCGCGCCAGGATCTGACCTCCCCGCGGCCCCGGAAAGCCGCGCACCAAAGGTCACTCCAGCCCGGAGGCATTCTTGCGTGTAGGCGGCGCCAGTTGGCAAGTTGGCCTTTCGGGGGGTCCCTCGTCGCCACGGCCTGACGCAGCTCGGGGAAGCTATCCTTGGGAGGGACCTGGGGGCCGATTTGGAGCGGCCGGACAGCGCAGCCTGCACGTCTTGGCCCTGCGCGGCGGCGGACCGAGTTTGGAGTTTGATACGGAGGACGTCACTGTGCTTGCTCCTCAACTCGCTCCGCTCCAGGGCGCAAAAAGGGGACGCAGCGGGCCCACATCGTAGAAGGCAGCTGCAGGGGGCTCCTCAGGAGCCCTCCTGCCTCATGGGGCCCTCCGGGGCCGTCTCGCTAGGCCTTCTGAAGCTTTCTTGGACCCATCTTTGGCCGACAAGCTTCGGAAGCGAGCACATGGAAGGTTGTGAACGCCTTACGGCTGGTGCCGCCGACCCTGAACGCTAGACCTCCACAGGGACCCTTGCTGGCGCCCCCCTCCGGGACCCGCTGGGATTTTGGGGGAGGGCGACCGCTGGCGTCCCGCCCAGGGGGGGAACCCTTGGGACCAGCCAGGACCCCCGGGAGGGGCTGTAATCTGACCCGGGGCCCCCAGCCCTACCTCCCCGTACCCCCCTGCCGATCCCCCCTTCCACCCTTCTCCCTGTCAGGGAGGGGAAATAAGAAGTGGATCGACTTAACTACGACGTTTCTTTTCTCTGTTCGTTCCTTCTTATCTTGGGACTGGCGACGACGATGACGGCGGCGACGACGACAACCACGACGACAACGACGAAGACGGCCTCATGGGGCCCTCCAGGGCCGTCTCGCTAGGCCTTCTGAAGCTTTCTTGGACCCAGCTTTGGCCGACAAGCTTCGGAAGCGAGCACATGGACGGTTTGCTTGCCAAGTAGGGTCCGTAAATTACCCTCCGAGGGCCTCGTTGGATCTCCCTTGACATGTCATATGGGATGTTCCTCAGGGGCTACATCGGGGACATCTTGGGCTACCTAGGGCCATCTTGGGCTAGTCTTCGGACAGACTGCAGTCGGCCGCGAAGAGCGTTGGAGAGAACAACGTCGGGAGCGCTAACACGTTAACGCGCGAGTCATCCTCCGATCCCGGATGGTGGTTCTTCCACCCCGAATGGTTTGGGGGGCCCCAAACGGGGTGGTGACCCCACCGTGTGGTGAGTCGGTGGGGATTCGGGGTCACCGCACGGTTTTGGGACCCGGGCCGTTCTCCGAGGACGTCTCGGGCGGCGGGGGCCTCCGAGGCCCCAAAACCGTGCGCGGATGGACCGTGCGGTGAGGCCTTGGGCGGTTCCGAGGCCACCGCACGGCCCGTCGCCGCACCGCTTCGGGGCTCCAGAGTGGTGCGCCCTCCCGCCCCGTGGCGCACCGCGCCGCAGTCCAGAGCTGCCCTCCGCGCCGCGGCCTCCCGCCCCGAGGGCTCCTCGGCTCGCCCGCGGGGCGTGCCCGGCGGGTGCCCCGCGAGGGGGCCCCGAGGCCCGAGGGGCCTGGGCTCCCGGGGCCCGAGGCCCGCGCCGGAGGGCCCGAGGGGCAAGCAGGGCTGTGTGCATGGCGATCGCTGGAGGGGAGAAGCGCGTTGCCCCATAGAATTCCTTCGGGTGCAACTCCTGGGAGGTCGAATTCTGATGTTGCCCTGGTCCGAAGTCCGGCTTAGTCCCCCATTAACCCTGTCTGATCCGGCTGAATCCCGCACAATCCGGCTTAATCCGAGGCCCACTCCCGCGTAACATCCCCCCAATGGGGCTCAATTCTTTTCAACCCTTCCGACGAAAACCTCCCAGTAGCTGCCTCCTAAAATTCCCAGATGTCTAAAGCATGTTTGTTTGGAGCAAAGATGACTAAAACCTGTAAACAACATGTGCTAAACATTGGTGGGGCACCTTCCTACATGTTGAGTACATATGTAATCCAATGATAGGGATGTTAGGGTGTCCAGTGGCGAGGCGTCCTGGCCTGCCTACAGGCCCACCAAAGGATGTTCTGAGAACTCGTTGTGTTTTGCGCGAAAAATGTTCTCCGAGCATCTCTGGCTGGCACTGTCTCGTTTGAACAGGTAGGGTGATGTCCTAAGCGCATCGTTTTCGCTCTGAGAACACGTTGGGGGCTCTAGGAACATTTCGTGGTGGGCCTAAAGGAAAGCCGGGGCAGTCGGTCCCTGCTCAAGGGGGGGCGGGTGGGGGGGGCCCGGTGCGAGGACCGGGTGAAGCTGATCTCGGAGATCGCCGACGCGCAGGCGCGGCTGGAGGTCCTGGCCCCCGAGCTGCGGGACCTGGCCGAGCTCGAGGGCCGCCACGCCCGGCTCAGCGCCGAGCGCAAGGCCCTGGCGGACGCGAGCCAGCGGCTGCGCGACGTGAACGGGGCCCTTGGCGTGCTGCTCCTGGGCGACACTGGGTCCACACATACACACACACACACACACACACACACACACTCAGAGGAGGGATATGTACCCATACTGCTACCATCCGCTCGTTTTCCCCCCTCTTTGGCCTCCTCGGAGGCCCTCGTCGCCACCGTTGGATTCGCCCCGAGATTCTGGTCAGAACGCACCCGGGGGAGGTCCTGGAAGTAGCGGTGTCGGTACCTTTTGGTGGTCTCCCAGCACGCACGCACACACACACACACACACACGCACGCACACATATATAGATATATATATATATATATACACGCACGCACACACACACACACACAAAAAAAAACGGTCGTTGTGAAACAAACGCGACGGAAGGTATTGGGCAAGTGCCTGCCCCTGGGGGCCTTTTTGAGGCCCCCCCCCGACCGTCAACAAATGGCTCAGGATGAAAAGCTGGTCCCAGAGAGTTGGTCGAGTCTCGGGAGCCGACAGGGGGTCAATACCACCAGGGGTCAGCCAGAGCGCCAGATCTTCTGGGGTCCTGCAGCGCTAGGATCCTGCAGGATTTTGGTTTGCATTGACCCTGGTCAGTGAGACCTCCGAGGGCCCACAATTTTTTTGAGCGGGGGCTCAGGTTTATCATGTTCCAACCTGTTTTGGCCTTGACCACCAGAAAGAATGTCGAGCACCACGAAAGTACCGGAATTTGAGGGCTTTCACGTGCCAGGCCCTGGGAGGCGATACTCGTTCGACATTGTCTCGATACTTTTTTGGGTGCTCGGACTTATTGTTGGGGATGGGGTCCTTAAGTACGATGGGAGCAACATAAGTCCAGGTCCCCCTCGGCGGCCACCGCTCTCGGCGGGGAGGGCGACAGCGCCACGCAGGCCGCCGGGGCGCTCACGCGGACCCTGCAGCTGCACCAGAAGTTCTCCGAGCGCTCCGAGGCGCACCGCCTGGAGAAGCAGAAGCTGGCCGACCGCATCCAGGCCAGGCGCCCGGCCGACAACGCATCGAATCACTCGGCCCGCACAGGCACAACCCAGACCCCGTCGGGCAATGAACTTACACTGGCGACGTACCCAGCCCCTGCGCCATGCGGGGCAGGAGTAGCTTGGGAGATTTGACGAGAGGGCGGCGACGTGACATGGACGCATATACTTCTGCGAGCGACATTCGGAAGGCTCGCAGGTCCCAATCAAAGGAAACACGATGAGTAACTGAGTGAATCCCTGAGTCACGAAGGAAGACGCAAGGTCCAAAAGAAGACGGTGGGCAGGGGCTTGAAATGTCGACGGGGCAGCAACAACATGATATGGTCCCCCCAAGGACGGCGAGGCCCCGCTCAGGTCTGCGCAGTGCCTCACCCCGCTGGACCCAGCACTAGCTTTCGAAAGTGGCGAGCCCACCAGCAGCCCTCGAAAGTGGCGACAGTTTCGCAAATCGCAGCCTCCCACGGATGGGCAGGTCCCGCTCAGATCCGCGCGATGCCTCACTCCGTTGGACCCGCCAGCAGCCCGCGAAAGTGGCAACGGTTTCGCAGATTGCAGCCCCCCAGGGACTGGGAGGTCCCGCTCAGATCCGCGTGGTGCCTCACTCCTCTTGATCCACTAGCGGCCCTCGAAAGCGGCGACAGCTTCGCTAATCGCAGCCCCCCAGAGACGGGGAGCTTCCGCTCAGATCCGCTGGACCCACCAGCAGCCTCGAAAGTGGCGACAGTTTCGCAAATCGCAGCCCCCCAGGCAAGGCAAGGCAAGAGGAGACAAGCAGGAGGTGGGGCGGGAGGCAGGAGGGAGGAAGCGGGGGGAAGGAAGGACGCGCGAGCAGTGCTCTATTCGAAACAAATACCCAACCAAAGAGGGTTGGGAAAAATCACGACCGGAGGTTGTTCTGTATTTTGGGCCGAGGCTCTCGCCGGGCCTCGGGGCCGTCAAACAACGACTCAGTATGAATGACTGGTCCCGGGGAAGGGGTCGAGACCGCTGGGGGTCGACGTTATGAACAAATCATGGCGTCGGGGGTCTGGGAGGGGGGTGCACGGGCGATGTGGCCGCGGCGCGAGGGGTTTTCCGAGGGGGGGGCAGGGGGGACCTGGCCGTGCAGAAGACCTCCGGCTTCGTGATGTGCGTTGTCCGATGCAGGGCTCCCGGGCCCCTGGACGCGCCTCACCGGAGACCAGTGGACCCAAAAACGGGGTTCGGCGAAAAGAGGGTGGTGGAATAGATTTGGCGCAATAGATTTGCGGGGTTGGGGCGTGCAATACTATCCGGTGCGCACAGGTATTGCTGCATGTCGGTCGCAACGCAATACAATTCTCCGGCGCAGTACATTTGCAATACCATTGCCCCAAGTCGATCGCACCATCCCCTTCCAGCTGGACGCACTTTGGTCGGGCCGGACGAACGGGGGGGGATTGGGAAAGGGGGGGTTACGAAATCTGCCGCATGCAGCTGGTTCTGGCCCCATCGAGGGGCCCATTCCTCGATACATGGCCGCCTCCGGCGCTGGGAGGCGCCAGGAAAATCAGCTACGTGAGCAACTTCTCAAACCCCCCTCTTTGCTATCCCCCCTTTCGCCCGGCCCGATTTGGGGCCGCCCGAACTCATGCAAGATGGGGTCGAGGGGCCCGAAGACGCCCCAGGGGCCCGACATCGGCCGACGCCGCAGGCGATCCTCCAGGGGGCGTCGGAAGCCGGAGGTCTGTCCTATCACATTAGATCGGGCATGTCCCTCTGCAGGAGGATGATTCGAAGATAGTCAAAAGATAGTCAGGGGGCAATTTTTTAGATATTTGTTTGACCATTTGGGGCCATTTTTGCTAGTATTTCTTATTTTTCCTCCAAAATTCCCGTGTAGGAGGACAGGCCCGACTTAATCCTAACAGTGCAAGATCGCAAACAGTCTCACGACCGGTGCCCGGGACCCTAGCTCTCTCTGCGCCATTGTTCGAGCGGGATCGATCTGTGAGGGTCCTAGGGCCCGAAATCGTGCGAAAATAAGCAGAGTTCCCAGAAATGCGGCGTCCTGAGTTGTTCAGTACGGCGTCCCCAGAAGTCCTGACCCTTTCCCCGAGGCCGGTTTTTCATCCCGAGCCGTTTTTGGATGCTCCCCGGGGCTGGCGAGGGCCCCCAGGGGTCGAAAACAGGGAAACACTCGCCGTCCCGATTTCTGTTTTTCACGACGCGATCATGTCTCGAGTTGCAACGCCAGGATCTCCGAGTGGTGCACGGGCGTGCGCGGCCGCCCGGGCAGGCCCTCGAGGTCGAGAACGCGCGGAGCGGGGCCGTGCCACCCGACGCCGCGCGGCCCCGCGCCTCCGCGGGGGGCGCGCGCGCCGCGCCGGCGGGCGCCGACCCGCCGGCGGGCGGCAGCGGGGCCCTCTCCAGCGCGAGGGAGGCGGCGTCGGTCGCGCAGGCCGCGGCGGCCTCCGCGTGGCGCGGAGGCCTCGAGCGCCTGAAGGACGCGAGGGCCGGAGAACCCCCAGCGCCGCGGCGCCGAGGCGGGCGGGCGGCATTGGGGCTGACCGTGCTTTCTTCTTCCTCCTCCTCCTCCTCCTCCTCCTCCTCTTCTTCCTCCTCCTCCCCCTCCTCCCTCCTCCCTCCTCCCCCTCCTCCTCCCTCTCCTGCTCCAACCTCCACCTCCACGCTCCTCCCTCCTCCTCCTCCTCCTCCTCCCCTCCTCCTCCTCCTCCTCCTCCTCCCCCTCCTCCTCCTCCTCCTCCTCCTCCTCCTCCTCCTCCTCCTCCTCCTCCTCCTCCTCCTCCTCTATTCGTTCTCCTTAGAAGTAACTCCTCCTTGTCGCACCCTGAGGCCAGTTTTGTAAGGGCGGTCAGGGCGTTTCGCCTGAGACTTCTTCACCTTTTTATGACTCTGAAGCTTAAAACTTGGCAACAGCTTCACGGACGGAGGGCGGGTCCTTTTCAAAATTAGGCTCTCGTCTTTGCGCCGCGCACATTCGTTTCACAAATTTGCTAGATCTTCACGGGTTGAGGGCGAGAGGGGTGTCAAAATTTGGCTCTCGCCTTAGCGCCGCGCACATTTTTCTTAACAAAAACAACGACTGACGGGGTTGAGGGCGAGTGGTTGTCCACATGTGGTTCTCGTCTCAGTGCCGCGCACATTCGTCTTAAGAATTTGAAAGAGCTTCACGGATTCAGGGCGAGTGGGGTGGCAGAATGTGGCTCTCGCTTCAGCGCCGCGTGCAGTCGTGATAAACAAATGCAAGAGATTCACGGATGGAGGGCGGTTCCTTTTGAACATGTGGTTCTCGCTTTAGCGCCACGCACACTCGTTTGACAATTTGGGGCGAGTGGTTTTCAACATGTGTTTTTTTGCCTCAGCGCCGCGCACGTTCGTCTTAAACCAGTTGCAAGAGTTTCACGGGTTGGAGGCGGATCGTTTGCAAAATGTGGCCCTCGCTTTAGCGCCGCGCACATTCGCCCTAAATATTTACAATCATTTCACGGATTGAAGAAGTCGTTTCTTGTTCAAAATGTGGTTCTTGCATTAGCACCGTGCACATTCGTTTCAAAACACTACAAGAGATTGCAAGGATTGCGAAGGCCAGTGCCGGTGCCGCCGACCTTGAAGAGGACCACGACGTCGGCAACGAAGTGGGCGGAGACGGAGGCCGTGGAAGATGATGATGAGGAGGAGGCAAGGAGGAGGAGGAGGAGGAGGAGGAGGAGCAGGAGGAGGAGGAGGAGGGGAGGAGGAGTAGGAGGAGGAGGAGGAGAGAGGAGGAGAGAGGAGGAGGAGGGAGGAGGGGAGGAGGAGGGGAAGAAGGAGGAGGAGGAGGTGGACAAAGGAGAGGAGGAGGAGGAGGAGGGAGGAGGAGGAGGAGCGTGGAGGTGGAGGTTGGAGCAGGAGGGGGAGGAGGAGGGGGAGGAGGGGTGGGGAGGAGGAGGAGGGGGAGGAGAAGAAAGAGGAGGAGGAGGAAGAGGAGGAGGAAGAGGAGGAGGAGGAGGAGGAGGTGGAGGGGGGGAGGAGTAGGACAGGGAGGTGGTGGGAGAAGGAGGAGTTGGAGGAGAACGAGGAGGAGGAGAATGAGGAGAAGGAGGAGGAGGTGGAGCAGGAGGGAGGCCGAAGAGATGTCTCCGGCGGCGCCCGAAAGTCTCGATCCTCGAGCCTGGGGTTCGGAGTCCGCAGAGTGAGTAGGAGGAGGAGGAGGAGGAGGAGGAGGAGGAGGAGGAGGAGGAGGCGGAGGAGGAGGAGGAG